TTCTAAATCGGCGCTGAATTATTATCGAGATTAAAGTTGCAAAATTTCCTTTTTTCGGTCTTCTGGTCATTTCGGCATTCCGTTTCAATTCAGTATTCGGACTTATTATTCGGATTTCTGTTTTATGCCGATACGCTGTTTAATTAGATCCGAGAAATTGATACTAATCCAACATTCTGTTTGATTCGGATTTCTGGTTAGTAATTCGTAATTAGGGTTGAATCAGTATCATGGTTGAAATTTGGCTTTTCTTATTTCCATTCAACATTCCGTTTTCGGCATTCTGTTGTTAATCCTATATTTCGTTTTTCTTTTGGGATTTCCGTTGTCTTTCAGTATTGGAAATTAGGGTTACGAAAATCTTTGTATTTTTTTGATCAACTTTTGGGACTGTAAATCCGGAAATTTCGCGGAAACGCGGAAAATTAGGGTTGGGACCGAAATTTTTGCGAATTTTTTTTTTCTTTCGTTCCCCTTGTTGGAGAAATTCCGAAAATAGGGTTAGACCTTTAAAAATCGGATTTTGACGGTGGAAATTCCCAAAAATTCACGTTTTTGAAAATTCGAGCGTTTTTCTTTTGAAATTTCCCGAAATTTCTTCAAGCACACTAATCCGTATTTGACCCTCAAACTGCAACTTCCGGGTAGTTCACTCATTAACGGTGAACTCCCGGACTCAAGTGATCTCAAAGAGACCTAATCATAACACCATTCAAATTCGTTATTATCATGATTGCAATGATTGGTTATTGATTTATCTTTTTGCAAATATTGATCATTGGTTATCTTTTGGATTATCATTAAGAATTATTATTTCGTTATTTATCATTAATTAATTTTATTGATTAAATCGTTATTAAATTCTTACTACGAATTTTGGAGTGATTTACGGGAAATTTATTTTCCTGTTTGATTAGGTGTCTACAGTCCATCAGTGGGACGGGGGATTGTATGTATGTTGCTTGATTGTTCTACCCTTGTTCCCACTCTCCCTACCCCCTTGTATTCTGTGAACACTGGCACCTCTCAAGTACCGCATCAGTTCAGACTGATGTCGATGGAACAGGACACCGGGGCACTGCCACGGCGCAGTGCCAGGATCGCAGTTCGTGCCCGCCCTGCGGTACCTCCAAGACCCAAGAGATTCAGCAGACGGACGACTCCAGCGGCATCAAGTACGACATTATCAGTACAAGACACCACCGGAGATCTTCCCGCATGCCCGGTCCGAGAGGCCAGCGAGCCTTTGGCTAACTATCGTGGGCGGCTACAGGCATTTACAGATGCCGTAGCCGTCGCCGAGGCTCAGCAGGCTGCGGCAGAGGCAGAACGTCAGCGGCTGGCCAATGAGGCGGCAGCCGAAGCTCAGCGGACAGCTGAGACTGATGAAGCGGCACGAAACAGACAGAATGCCGCCAGCACGGAGTCCCTGATTGCTAGTGAGCATCAGTGGACAACGATACTCCAAGGCATGATCTTTGTGCCTACGGAAACGCAGCCGGAGCCGACACAGGCGGAGGCAGAGAGAAGTAACCTGGCTACCGTGATGTTCAACGTAATGAGGGGAGTAATGTGGAACAACAAACTACTGCAGGCACACCTGCAGACGAAACGATAGCAAAGACAACAGTACCAGCAAGACCTGGCCGCTGTAACGGCCGGCGTCCGCGACGCAGCAATGCAGCAGCAGCAACAACAACAGCTAATGAACTCTACCATTGCACGCATCAACGGCATTGAGGCCAAGGCCTCAGCAGCGCCAGGCTGCACGACGGACGCGACGAAGCAAATCAACGAACGCATCGATCACGTCGTCACCATCATCGGCGACGTAGGTGTTTTCAACGGACCGGACACTGTCAGCAGCACGGTGGCCGCCATCAAGACGGACATCACCAAGCTACAGACGAGACCGGACGCCGCTACAAAGACGTTCAAAATGCCGCACTTCGACATYTGCAAGTTCGACGACTACAACAAGTCGRACGCTTTGACATGGTGGCAACGTTTCCTCACGGAAGCGTCATGCCGCACTGTCCCAGCGAACGACATGTTGAAGGCACTCTATTTGCAACTGATTGGAGGAGCGCARGCATGGATGAACCACCTGGCGGCCACCCACAARTGCACCATCGCCRAACTCCACACGCACATCACGTGGAAGGAGTTCGAGCAGCTATGGTTCACCCGGTTCATGGTCCGCAACGTCGTGAAGGCGGCCATGAATGAGGTGTACACATGCTCTCAGGGGAACATGCCAACTCGAGACTGGACAACGAAGTGGCAAAAGATAGTGACCACACCAGGCTTCGACTTGACGTTTCCAAATCAACGATCCGAGTTCTTCTCGCGATCATGCGCGGGATTGCGGTCGGCACTCGGTAATGAGTACGACTATACCACATTCCAGGCCATTCTGGATCGAGCGAACTTGGTCATCCAAACGGACGACAAGGCCGCTAATGAGAGACAATCCAAGCCGCATTATGTGGCTAAGCAGGCCTATCAACGTCCGACACATAACAATGCCGTGATTTGTGAGGAAACCGACGACCACCACGCTGCAGCAGCATCCTCGGGTGATGGAGGAATTGTCGCAGCGCTCCCGCCGAAGCGTCCCAAGAGAGTTTGTAAGAACAAGGCGACACAAGAGACGGCAGCGACGGGAGCTGGGCAGCAGCCATGGACGGCATATAAGATCACCAAGGAGGTCTATGACCTGCGTCAGAAGTACGGATACTGCCTTTGGTGCAACGGAGTCACTCATGTGACCGCACAATGCCCCGAAAAGGGCAAGGCACGCGTACCCCGTCCAGCAAACTCGGGAAACTGAGTTACGCAAGGAGAGGGGCGACGTCTCTCCTCACTCGCCGGACCCGGTTGCCATGCTAGCAATCGATGCCACTACCGGGGAGCATGCGTTAGTCACTGATTCTCGTGCTACGTACGAGGATTATGCCGCCCAGCTGGTACCACCATTAGACCAGCCTAGCCACGTGCATGTAGATTGCGTATGCGCAGCCTGTACACCATCGGCAAGTGATCTGGTCAGTCCGCCACTGATTTCCGAGGACTCGACGGCGTGGTCAAGACTTGAGGAGCTTGACCCGCTCACGAGAGAGGATTTTGCTTGGATACCTCTTCCCTCGACCGGAACATTGCCAAGGCCGCATTGCAACGCCTTGATGGCAAATCTACGCTTCTACTTGCACACTACAGTACCAGCTCCGTTGACGGACGACGGGGTAGCAGTTGCCGATCTCCGCTCCTATCTTGCGAAGATCGACCGCGAGCACGCCACCCAAAGGTACGCCGAAACCGACGCACCTTTGCTCTATATCCGCATTCAAATCGGAAAGGCAACCTGTAGTGCCTTGATTGATTGCGGAGCGTCTCACAACTTCATGAGTCAAGCCTTTATGGCCCGCGCAGGTCTTGGCCCGCGCGTTCGAAGGAAGACGCAACCTACGCAAGTTACACTCGCGGACGGCCGCACACGAAAGTCAATTGACTGATGCGTTGACGGCATTCCGGTCTACTTTGCGCCACTTGCGTGCGAGCCGGTGTCTTTTGACGTCCTCGACACCAAGTTCGACATGATTCTAGGCATGTCTTGGTTGCGTAGTGCCGATCATCCGGTGAATTTCCATGACCGAACCGTTCACATCCGTGATCGGAACGGAGTGTTAGTCCCATGTACGGTCGCGACCCCTCACACTTCGATTGCTTGTCACGTGGTTTCCGTTGCGCGGATTCGCGACGCCATTGCTCGGAATGACGTCGAGGAGATGGGCCTTGTATTCTTGCATGCTCTCCCCTCGCCGGACGGACCAGCCGCGTCACCGYCGGACCCACGCATTTCTCACCTCTTGGACGAGTATAGAGACGTCTTCGAGGCTCCCACCGGAACGGTTCCGGATCGGCCCATACGTCACGAGATCACTCTCGAGGCTGGCGCCGTCCCTCCGCGTGGATGTATCTACTGCATGAGTGAAGAGGAACTCGAGGTGCTTCGCGCACAACTCGATGATCTTTTCGACAAGGGTTGGATTCGCCCTAGTTGCTCGCCATACGGTGCACCTGTTCTCTTCGTCCGGAAGAAGAACAAAGATCTACGGTATCTACGGTTATGCATCGACTATCGGAAACTTAACGCACAAACCGTAAAGAACGCCGGCCCTCTCCCTCGGATTGATGATCTCCTTGAGCGGTTAGGCGGCGCGACGTACTTCTCGAAGTTGGATTTGAAGTCAGGTTACCACCAGATTGAAATCTAGCCTCAAGACCGGTATAAGACCGTGTTCAAGACGCGGTACAGGCATTTTGAGTGGGTCGTCATGCCATTTGGACTCACCAATGCCCCCGCAATGTTTCAAGCAGCGATGACGACTGAGTT